AAAAATAAATTCTCTTTACAAAACTCTCTCTCGCGAGTTCGCCCTAAACCCTTGCAGCCGTTGCCGTCAACAAAGCACCACCACCATCTCTATGGTGGTTGGCGCTCCTCGCCGCCGCCGGAAGAGCCCCCATGTTTACTTCTTGCAGGTTTCGATTGCTTCCTCTTCTTACGATTTCATAATAGTGGTCTTTCTTTCTCGGTTTGGGATCTCGTCTTAGGTCCTCGGCCTCGTTGTACCCGAGTAGAAAAACTGACTAGATCTGTCTTTCAGCATGGTCTCTGTCGCTTCTGGTTGAAGGCAGCTTGTTCTATCGGCTTCGCGAAGTGGTCCAAGAGTCTTCAAGGATGGGCCTCGTCGTCGTGGAGTTAGATCGAAGATGTCTTCTCTGATTGACTGTGTAAGCAGTGGACTCTGGATTTTCTCGGTGTCTTGGTGTGGATTCGGCTTGTCTCCAATAGGCTATATCAATTGGACCTTGCTTTGGTGGGAAGCGGTGAAAGAAGTGATGTCAATGAGCGGAAAATCATCCTACATAACTTTGTTTGTCTTTTAGAACATGTATCTTCTATCTCTATCTTTTATGTATTTTTCACGGCATATATTTTAGTCGAGTCTTTATTAGTGTCTACTTTATTAGACTTTAACATTTCCTCCGTCGTTGGAGTTTAAGTAATCTATAAAACTAGTTTGATCAACAACAAAAAAAAATAGGTTTGGATTGATCCAATCACCTCTAGCTCATAAACAATCCATTTTATTATGTTTCGATCAAAATATTTTATTTTGAGTCCTAATTAGTAATTATTATAGAATTATAATTTGGTTGAGTAAACTTCTTAACGTTTTGATTAATGAATCTTTTGTAGTGCGTAAATTACGCCGTAATGGCCAAAAACTTGAAAATCTATGATGTTTGTACTTACTTTTCTATTGATGTTTAAGCTTAGTTTGCACAGGTTTTTGTTTATGTTAGTTGTTTGTTTGACTAATTATTGATTATAATGTTTTCGAATAATGAATTTCTCTAAAATTAAGTACAAAATCTTGAACTACGAATCCTCGATATTGTCTCAAATTTCACTTTATACAGTATCTCATTTAATTTAAAAAGTTTCAAGTTTGTTGCACAATTTTTTTTATGTTGCATATAGACGTTAGTATATAGAATTACCAAGATAAAGAAAAACATAATTGAGGTCCTTTTTTTCATATGTAAACACATATTTTAAAATTATTATTTCATATAATAGTTTATAAACATAAACAGAATAAAACATATTCTTTAGCACAAAGAGGCAACATAGCTAGTTTATAAGATGAAAACATAATAGTATGAACATTAATTCTTATCCCAGCTATACATGAGTCTCTCCGGCTGATTTTTTGTTGATAAATAAATAGCTTCATCGTTTGCGTTCCATGTATATAACAAGTCACACTTTCTAGTTTTTTCTGCTTTATATGCTTCAAAGGATTTATGATACTCCAAATTAGCTCCTTTCCACAAATCACATATGAAAAACGTTCTTAGAATCAAATTATCACGGAAACTAAAATTGTACGCAACATCTTTATATTTCACGAAATGGTAGCCTAGATTGTCGTCTCTCGATATACAATGGACTTTTAGAGTGCTCTGGCTAAGAGAAAGATTGTTCTGAAAAGCTATGGTGTTTTTAGGGCACTTAGCTTCATTATATCCAACATGCAAAACACTTATGAGTGACAACAAAATAAATACAAGATTCATAGTGTTCAGTAAATCTTACTCTCTTTAAGTTTAGAAAAATGGAAAAACACTGATAAAATTTGTGCATGTCTTTACAGTTTTATAGACTTCATAGGTTTCTCAAATGTCAACAGTGGTTGTTTCAATCTCTTTTGTTTGATGTTTGGCTTCCATTTGGCAGATTTACATAGACTATATTTATGTATTTGATTCTCTAGAATCAGTCTTTGGTCAAATCATTAATAAGTCAAATTGGATTCTTTTGTAAATAAAAGTTTAATAAGTATTGTTGACAAAAAAATGCTCATTTTTTATTGCATTGTGTTTTGTTGTATCTAATGCTTCTTACTTTTTTCTATAAATTAATTAATTTGGTCTTTAGGTATTTTAAAAAGCATATTCTGATCAAATGTTTGTCTTAATTTTTAGTTAAAAAATATCGTTTAAATAAATAAAAAAATATCAACAAAAAAGCTAAACATGGGATTTTAAACAAGTATATTGTAGTATCCCAATAATATGACGTATATCTATGATAATGTCACTAGATCAAATCTTTTACTCAACTTTTCTCATAAAACGTCATTTTAGTGGTCATAACTCCAAAAATCATGATTGTTGGTTTGTTAATCATTACGATACTCACATATCCGGCAACAATCAGAAATATCGGTTTCTATACCCTAAAGTTTTGAGGAATTTCAGTTTACACATTTAATTTTCGTTTACACATCTAA